TTATCTTCCCTCTAAGACTGAGGGGGGAAATAGCTCAACAAACCTATAATTGATTGACAGCTCAAGGGCCGAGAAGTTCTAATGTTCTCAAAAGAAGTTCTTTTGAGTTCCCACTCAAAAGAAAATCAGCCTGGTGAGAGTACACCTCACAAGCTCAGAAACATTATTTGTGACAGGAAGGTATCAGCTTCCTGTGGATGCCAAGGCGCTCAGCAGGAGACATTCAGTTGCAGGTGATAATGTCAGTGTAGGGAAGGGTCTCTTTAGGCTTTCAGGAAGGTCCACCCCACTCCAGATGCAACAGGAGCAATCCTCCATAGTGCCGGCCGGGAAATCTCCAGGGATCTTGTCATCCCAGGTGGACCTCATCTAACCCATCCAATAAACAACTAGAGGAGAACATCAAGGCATGGATTCAGTCCCTGCTGCTCCCTCTTGGCCTTTTGGGTTAACTAAATAGGTGAAGGTTCTACTCTAAATGCAATGCTGTGGAATTAGACAACTAGACATCAGCTACCCTGACAACTCCAGAGGTCAGGATAACAAGCTCTTACACCTGCTGTATGGGCTGTCCTGCCCTGACATCTACATACTCTCTGCTTCCTTTAAATCACCGCTTCAAAGGGCCCCTTCCCCACCTCCTGTCAACCCTGATCACATGTCCAAGTTCCACTCCACACGTCAGGGCTTTCTTCTTGGGGTTGGTTCATGTTGACCTCTTTTCTTCCCAAAATCCTGTTTAATACATCGTCTAAAACTATGCTTTCATGTACGTTTTACCATTTCCTTCAGTCTCATACTGCTTCCCAGAACTTACATACACTCATATTTTATGTGATTAATTTTGATAGTTTCTATTCTACTCTATTTCATTTTTGAATGCTCTATAATGGGGTGTATGAAGTATCCTAGTGCACAACATGTATTTGGGATCCTTACTTATCGTCTTTCGTTTGCATGTCTGTCTCTGATAAGATTTTGGTTTCTTTAAGAGGGTGGCTTCTTTTCTGCTTCCCATGGGTGCTGTCTGTCTGGACTTATCCTCAGTAGGTGTGCTGTGGTGCGCAGGCTCAGGAGAACGGGGTAAATGTGCTTTGTGAGATGCAATATTCAGATACTTAGGAGTGTGTTTTCTGGCATCATTAATCTTTCCTTCATGTTGTGTGTTAACTGTGGGCTCAAATAGCTGCCCTCGTATTGACCTGAAAGTTTCTGAATCCTCAACTCTACATCCTAGATTCACCCCTAGATGAGCTCTGCCCCCACCGTGAAGCCTCTTCAGCAGGTGTGTTCTCTGCGGTGCAGCCTGACCCAGGAGGCTCCTTCATTCACCTCCAATGAGAGGTGCCCTGACCTGGCCCCTCTCAGCCCTGAAAAGAGAGGCCATGACCTTCTGTGGACACATAGGAAATAATAATGTTGATAATATAGAAATGCCTTCATTTTAGTACTTTTTTCAGGATCTTTTACCTGCTTTTCGATTTTCATAAGAACACAAAGTTCTAAAAAACTTCCAAGAAAGAACTATTTTTAGAGTGACTACAGACAAGGAAGAAAAATCACACTTCAGCATTTAGCACCCCCCACCCCCCTGCACTCTGACCTGGGGTTTCATTTCCACGTTTTCCACTAGTCATGTTCATGGGAGACCTTCATGGAATAGGAAGAAATGATGAATGAAGAGACAGAGGCCAGATGGAGACAGAGAGCAAGCATGACTAAGTGTTAGGAGATTGTGGGTGGCCGACAGGCTCGGTTTGACTGGGACTAGGGGTTTCCCAGGACTAAGGGGTTTCCCAGGACGTGGACCTTATCGTGCTAAATCCAGTCAAATTCAGAGCAAGTTGAATGGTTGGTCATCTAGGAGCTCAGCCCAATGGCTCAGGAGAAAGTGGTAAATGCCACGCCTCCTCTTTCCTCACTCTTCTTCCTCCTTCATCAGAAGGCAATAATTGTCTATCTCCCATGCCAAACAGAAGGTTCAAGACCTGAACCCAGGGGTCCTTGAATCACTCCAAGTTGGTAGGGAAGGTGGCTGCCAAAAATGTCTTGAAAATGGAGCTTTGTTATCTCCACAGCTTAATAAAGCTGATTCTCAGAGCAGCCTGCAGGTATCTACCCTGAGGTGGCTACTGTGCTAGATCTCCAGAACCTTCATCACATAACTAAAGCACGTGACTTGCAACTCAGTTTGCTCAGTTCTGTGCACCAGGGACTTGAGCATCGGAGAGAGAGAACAGGGAGAGCAGAAGTGTCTGGGGATGGATAGAGACCTGTTTTCAGCAATGATTCATTATATTGTGTAGTATGCCATATTTGGTAGAGAACTCTCTCTGTCCGGGCTGAAAAGGGATTGAATTTGGTGTCAAACAGAAGGATAGGGAAAATGGCCACTTCCGCACTTCAACTGAGAGGTGTCCCAGGTTTCCTGTTTTTGTTTTTGTTTTCTTTCTTTCAAATCTGGACAGAGGAACAGAGAGGGTGAGGAAAAGGCACAAGGAGTCTAGTCTTGGAAATACTTTTATATCTGGATATATACTGATTTCTACAATCCTAGGTTCTGAAAGTAACTACCTAAGATTCTTCTTCTACCACTAAATGTAACTACAAAAGGGGGCATGAGGGAAGAGTTAGAGCGTTTAAGTAGTACGTTTTACCCATTTACTCAGTAAGTATTTTTGAGCACTTTCTAGGGCTGAGTTCTGGTAAATCCCTGACCTAAAGACAGTGCCTGACCTGTGAGAAGCCGAAGATCTCATCCAGAAGTCTGATACGGACCAGTTAACACATTTCATCATTGACTCCCTGGGGTCTCTTTGAGCCATAAGAGGAACCCAGGAACAGCTAGTGAAGAAAAGATCAAATTTAGAGAACAGGAGAACTCAAAGCAGAAAATCAGCCCTTACTGAGGTGCCAGAGCACCCAGCCAAGTGGATAAATACGTTTGTGAATAGCTCAAACCAAAGAAAAGAAGAGAAGGAGTTTGAAGATGTTGCTAGAATGAAGTGAAGGCAGCAAAGTTTGCTACATTGGTAAGAATGGGTAACATCGGTGCCCCTCGCTGTTTATGAGATTTTGATGTGAACTCTGTCCGTCAAGTTTTTGAGAGATTGCAGCCAGGTGCTGGGGAAGCACCTCCTCTCTAACTAATAAGGGTGAAATCCTCATCAGACTACAGCCTGCTTCCTGCCCTGCTCTGCCCAATTTACACAAGTTATGAGTGCTGACTCGGTTGAAAGTCCTTGAGGAATTTAAGAGTAAGGGCCAATAAAATATCAAAAATAAGGAGAAAACATCAATTCTCTTTCCTGGGGGGGAAAAAACGTGGAAAAGAATCACCCCTCCCTTCTTATGGCATTTTCTTTAGAAAGCTTGTGTGAATTCTTTCTCTGCCCTTTGTAATGCAAATCTTTTTAAAAAGCTGTTTGACAGCCTAGGGCTGTCTTTATGTCTTTAGAGCACCTGGGAGCCATCCCTTCGAAATGCAAACATCAAGGAAGATCGCGTCCCCACCTCCCAGTCTCCGTGGGAAAGCAGGAGCCTAACTTAGAAGCGTAACTTAGGTAGGAGCCTCACTTTTGCCAGCACCTTTCCAAGCTGCTAATCTTCCCCTTTCCATGGAAGATATGAGAGGGACAGTTAGCTAACACATATGGTTACTGAATGAACTTAGGATGAACGATGTGTGACAAAGAGTGCTGTCAAGTCCTCTTACTTGAGGATTAGTTATGGGTTAGCTTGAGAACACGTGTGTAAGGGGTGGCCCCTGCCTGGCTATATGACCAGGCGGCATCCCTCTCCGTCTTTGCAATCTTTTCCTGGATTGTCTGGTGGGCTCTAGATTACATTCTGGTTCAAGACACATTGAATAATGAAATTGCTTTCTTTCTCTTCAGCCTTTGTAGAGAAGTTTTCTGGGCTGGCAGGAGACTGTTTAAAATTGTTTTACCCATCACATCTTAGACGATTGTTACAATATGACTCTAAGCCCCACTTCAAATGTCAACCGATGTGGGGATTCTCCTTCTTCCAAATACTGCTTGCTTGAAAGTCAAAAAAAGGAAATAGGAATCCGGTAGTGTGAGGCCCCCCACTGTGTTCTTTTTGCTTAGAATTGACTTGGCTATGCGGGCTCTCTTTTGGTTCCATATGAAGTTCATGGTGGTTTTTTCCAGTTCTGTGAAGAAAGTCAATGGTAGCTTGATGGGGATAGCGTTGATTCTGTAAATTACTTTGGGCAGTATAGCCATTTTCACGATATTAATTCTTCCTAACCATGAACATGGAATGTTTCTCCATCTGTTTGTGTCCTCTCTGATTTCGTTGAGGAGTGGTTTGTAGTTCTCCTTGAAGAGGTCCCTTACATTCCTTGTGAGTTGTATTCCAAGGTATTTTATTCTTTTTGTAGCAATTGTGAATGGCAGTTCGTTCTTGATTTGGCTTTCTTTAAGTCTGTTATTGGTGTAGACGAATGCTTGTGATTTTTGCACATTGATTTTATATTCCAAACACCGCATATTCTCACTCATAGGCGGGTGATGAAAAATGAGAACACATGGACACAGAAAGGGGAGTACTAAACACTGGGGTCTATTAGGGGGAAAAGGGGAGGGCCAGTGGGAGGGGGAGGTGGGGAGGGATGGCCTGGGGAGAAATACCAAATGTGGGTGAAGGGGAAAAGGAAAGCAAAGCACACTGCCATGTGTGTGCCTACACAACTGTCTTGCATGCTCTGCTCATGTACGCCAAAACCTAAAATCCAATGAAAAAGTTAAAAAATTAAAAAAAAAAAAAAAAAAAAAGGAAATAGGAGGGGGCACACTGTCCCAAGGCAGGCTCCTGACAGGAAGTCACCCGTTAAGGAGGCAGCACATTACTGCATTTGGCTGGTTTTCAGGGTCTTGTTCCCAATCAGTTTCCAGCCAATGCCAGGCTGTCCTAATCCACAGGGCTGTGGGGGGCACACTCCATAATCTCTACTTTTCTTCTTTTTTTTTTTTGCAACTGAGTCATGAAGTTTTCAGCCCCAGCATGTGGCTCCTCCTTAACTGCATCTGCTCAGCCTCCCTCAGCCCTGTGAACAGCCGCCCCACACACAGACCACAGAGCAGGGCTCTCTCTCTGCTGCCGCTTCACCTTCCTGAGAGAAGGCCAGCCTGCCAGAGCCTCAGTGACCGCTGCCCTGGAGGATAGGGCACAACAGCCATTTCTGGTAAGGAAAACCGGGTTTATACTCACAGAGACTTTGGGAATAGGAAGAATCACAGTTTGGTCAAAGCTGTTCATTTCTGACATGACCTTGCACGGGTCCCCTCGCTTCTGGGTTCCCTGGTCAGTAAAATGGGGCAGCAGCGGTGAGTGCTGCAGGATCCGCAGGTGCGCAGCTAGTGGAACACAGCCTGAAGAATCAGTGCCTGCACTCACAGCCCAGGCCCGGGGCAGCAGGCTTTGTTGGCCCATTGCCCATCACTTAGCTGAGTCGATCTCCGTGAAACTCTCAGGGGGTAAGGCTGAAATGATCCTCTCATCCGTGGGACAGATGGGAAAACTGAAGCTTCCAGAGGGTGATAGGCTTTCCCCAGCTCCCCTAGCAAGCCAGGGCATTCTTCCCAATTTTACCCTCCTAATTTCTCCTGTCCCAGCCCAGCCAGACATGCACCATGTCCCAGACAAGCCTGGGAGCTGAGGATGGATTCTTTAGGGCTCCCCAGCGCAAATGCGGGATATTTTCCAATCCTAGGAGCCTCCTGTTCCAAACAAGACCCCTGAGTGCACCTTGTCCTGTGACTTTCAACTTCTGAAATCCACGCTATGGTCCCCTAGAGGCCCCACGTTTTTCCTATGACCCCCTGCAGGATGCACACTACAGGGAAACAGACTCATGATCGGGCACCTGTGAACAATCCCTTTGTCAGCCACATCTTATGTGAGAGACGTGCCATGAAATCACAGCGACCAGACCACAAAACACATGATTCCAATACCAGGAAATATATGGGCTGGGACAGACAGGGTGAAGGAAATACTTATGAACAAGGAAAAAAAGAAGTGGTTGGATCTCTTCTAAAATAGCATGGAAGAGGCTACTTTCTCATGTTTTGCTAAAATAAGGTCTTCTCATGGTAAAATCAGGTTCATGCCATTTTCAAATCAGAATGTGCGTTTTGTTCATTTGCTTCACCCTCCTCCCTGAGCCAGACCCTCCCAACAGAGGGTGCTACTGTCTTGCTTGCACACTGCCTTCCAATTTCTCATGACCTTTGGACTCATTTGTGGGAAGTTCAGTAAAATTTTTCCTTTGGAGAAGAAACCTGCCTTCCTTCTCAGTTCCCCCAATTTTGTCTGCCCTGTAGACCAACACGTATGACATTCCTCCAAGCCTATGACGTGTCCAACAGTCTTTTTCTAGGCTTTCTTCAGTTCTCTAGTAATCTTCTCCATGATTCATCTTAGCACTGCCATCAGGTTCCTTTCTGACTCACCTGTGGACACTTGGTTATTTGTTAATATCTGCGGAGAGATATATTCCTCAATGCAGCCTGATCCACTGAGGTTGGATTGGGAGAACTATTTTTGTTGGTTGGCTAACATAATAGAGTTTGATTCGCTTTTGTGACAGGTAGTTGTCTGTTTTAAAAGGAAAGACCTCAATTCAGAGAAACTCCTGCCACCTGCAATTTTATTTTTGAATAACCTTTTTTAAGAAATGCACTCAATATTTTGCAATAAAATTCTATGTGTCGGTTTTAGGGTAGGCTTCTAGCTGTCCAATTGATTTGTCTTGACCAGGGAGTGGCAGCATTATACACCTGTCCCAAGAGGACTGTTGAGTTCTTTGGAATAACCTCTTTTTCTGCCTGTGGAATCAAAGACAATATACAGACAAAAGGAGCCATTTCATGATGTTGGCTCCATTGTAAATATGTAACCTTTGGCAGGTCATTTAATGCTCAGTTTCCTTGCATTTTAACAGAAATTTTAAGACCATCCTTGATCACATCACAGGGAATTTGGGAGAGCAATTAAAATAAGGAGGATGAGATAACTTTGAAAATTATCCATGTCTGCACAGAGGTTTATTACCGTGATGATGTTCATAATCAGCATCGTTACCACTGTCATCTTGACCTTTACCATAGTGTTGACTCGAAACCTCAGGAAACGTCGTCTAAGGTAGAGAGGATGTCAGGGACCTGGTGCTACTTTGACAAAAGACAAAAGCGTCATTTATCAGAGACAAGAACAGTGTGTGGGAGAGAGGAGAACATTCTTCTCTGGGCTTAAGAAAAAGAAAGAAAGAGGGAGAGGGGGGAAGAGGAAAGGAGGAAGAAGGAAAAGAAGGGAAGGGAGTGGGGCAGGAAGCTGTCTTAATACATTCTGATAATATAAAAATGGATTGCTTGACCTAAAGAAGGCCAAGAAAATCTACTAAATGCATAGAAAAATGTGGAAAAGATGGAAATCACAGAAGTTATTATGTATGGAAGTTTATAAATAACCAAAATAGCAAACAAACCATGAAAACTGTTTTAAATTCAATGATAATCAGCAAAATGCAAGTTTAAGCCAATTAAGACATGCTTATTTATGCCCATACAGATGACAAGAAATTAAAAGTGTATTATTACCAAGTGACTGTGAAGGTTCGGGGACCTCTTAGAAATGGGTGGTGCAAACAGGAGTTAGCACGACTCCCTGGGAGTCCTATTTGGCAATATCCAGTCAGGCGGCAAATGCACATCCCCGTTACTGTTGCACAAGGCTGGAAATTGTTACCCGGAGCAGGAAATGAGTTGTTCCTGAATTCTGCCTGAAGTTGATTCTTTCTCTTCAATCACCTCACTGCCTCCTCTCCACCAACCGTCAGGGTGGGAAGGCAGTCATGCCAGTCCCCCAGCACCACTTCCTCTCACATCAGTTCTTCGTGTCCCTGATCCCCATTCCGCCCTCCCATTGGAAAGTACCTCGTAATTTCCTCTCTGCCGCTGGAATAGGCATCTGACACAAAGAATTTCTGGGACTGGAAGTTTCCAGTACTTCAAATAAACCAATGTTATTTACAGCAAGGCAATTTTTTTTCTCTATTCTGGCAAGTTTGCCTACTTGGATTTCCATTTTTTTAAATGCCCCACTGTTTGTTCCACAGAAGAATGCTTTCTTCATTTCATGCCTTTCTGGTTGGGGGAGATGATCAACTGATTTGCTTCAAAACGTTTCCTGATTTTCTGTAAGTTGATGGGAGGGAGGCAATAGTGCATTATTTTAGCAGAACCTAACATCACCTGGTTTGCTTAAAGTTGTTTACAGACGTTTCAAATAAAGTATGAGTTAGAAAATTAGTGATGGAAATGGCTCATCTGAGGATAATTATTCTTAGACGTCTGAATCGGGTGCTCTCAGGCTCTACCAGCTCCCATATGGACATTTGCTTTTTATCCCTTTCCTGTTTTCATTCCAGGAGAGAATGGAAGGATTCCAGAAGGGCAAATATGGAACTATGGCTGAAGGTAAGAAAGTCTTGAAGTTCTTAAGAGCTCCAGAGACTCGGGAGAATCCCAGTTCTCTCCCCAGCTACCCCCACCTAAAACGCAGTGGCAGAAACCCATTCATTTTAAATGAAAAAAATAAAGGCAACTATCATTTTTTACCTCCCCAACCCTCTTGTGCTGGACCACACCATCACACACACACACACACGCACATGCGCGCGCGTGCACACACACACACACACACACACGCACACACACACCATAGATGCTCTCCCTGCACCAGGTATGTGGGAAATGTGGGAAGGAAATCCCAGAGGTTGAAAGGTCTGGAAACAAATGGTGAATATGTTTTCTCTTTCTTTGTCTTCTGACAGCTGAAAAAAGAAAATGTTCCCCATAGGGATTTAGTCACTGTACTTGTTACAAAACACCACAGAATAACTTAAGGAAAGGAAGAACTGACACAAAGTAGGAGGAATAAAATAACAGATTTTTTTTTTTTGGAGACGGAGTCTCGCTCTGTCGCCAGGCTGGAGTGCAGTGGCGAGATCTTGGCTCACTGCAGCCTCCACCTTCTGGGTTCAGGTGATTCCACTCCCTCAACCTCCTGAGTAGTTGGAACTACAGGCGCAGGCCATCATGCTTGGCTAATTTATTATTATTATTTATTATTATTATTATTTTAGTAGAGACGGGATTTCATCATGCTGGCCAGGCTGGTCTCCTGACCTCATGATCTGCCTGCTGCCTCGGCCTCCCAAAGTGCTGGGATTACAGGAGTAAGCCACGATGCCTGGCCTAAAATAATAGATTTTTAAGAGCCTACAGTGCACTTCTAATTCATTTTGGCCCTAGAAATCCACAGGATCCCCCCTCTTCGCGCCTTGAGGATTTTAGCTCCTGCCAGAGTCACTGTCTCCAGCACCACTTCTGCCATAATTTCATGTGCTTGGATCAGCCACATAGATGAGCTTTTCAACACACATGTTTCTGTTGACCTTATCTTCCACCTTTTTGAGCCGTCCACCCTAGGGCCATCTCCTAGACGTTGCCCTAACATTAACTGCGACCTATATCATCTCAATTTCAAGCATCTCACCCCGTATCCAGAGAGCACAGGCCCAGGGACAGGCAGCTGACGCTTGGCAGTGGGTCACTATAGCTCTGCCAGTGGAGACCTCCTTGACCCTCAAGGCTTGGATGAATGTGTGAAGTGTGTCTATACAAATGTGCCTGGAAATGTGTGGGTGAAAGAGAAGTAATTGTATTTTCACTTGCAGCTACTCATCCCCCGCCTCCTTCTAATCTCACAACATTTATTTAGCAATTAATCCTCCATGGAGCTGGTCTAAACACCATGCAGGGGAAAACACAGGGACCGTTTCTTTCAGGAAAGCTCTATTTGCCATGATCCAGGTGGAGTGCTTAATGGATCTTCTTAATGCAAAAGTTCTGACTCCTGCCTGTGGATCCAAACATGGGCTTCCAATGGGGGCTTTCTACATGCAAGATTCCCCTGCAGTTGTATGCACACTTTTATATGCATATAAATATGTCTGTCATTCTGGGGATGAGGTTCATAGCTTTCATGAGATAACCATGAACCTAACAGTCTTAAGGATCATTAACTTAGTAAGACACAAAACTTCTTTTTCTACAGGTAGATCAGCAAATGACAGGTTTGCAACGCCACTGGCATTGAGGATTATCCTAGTGGGCAAATCAGGCTGCGGGAAAAGCGCCACAGGGAACAGCATCCTTGGCCAGCCCGTGTTTAAGTCCAAGCCGGGGGCCCAGCCGGTGACCAGGATGTGCCAGGTGCAGGCAGGCACATGGAACGGGAGGCAAGTCCTGGTGGTCGACACGCCCTCCATCTTTGAATCAAAGGCTGATACCCAAGAGCTGTACAAGAACATCGGGGACTGCTACCTGCTCTCTGCCCCAGGACCCCACGTGCTGCTTCTGGTGATCCAGCTGGGGCGTTTCACCCCCCAGGACACGGTGGCTGTCAGGAGGGTGAAGGAGGTCTTTGGGGTAGGGGTCATGAGACATGTGGTTGTCCTCTTCACCCACAAAGAGGACTTAGTGGGCCAGGCCCTGAATGACTATGTAGGAAACACAGACAACTACAGCCTGAGGGGCCTGGTGCAGGAGTGCGAGAAGAGGTGCTGTGCCTTCAACAACCGGGCCACTGAAGAGGAGCAGAGGCAGCAGCGGGCAGAGCTCCTGGCTGTGGTTGAAAGGCTGGAGAGGGAGCGAGAGGGTGCCTTCCACTGCAACGACCTCTTCCTAGATGCCCAGCTGCTCCAGAGAGGTGGGGCCATGCCCTGCCAAGAAGACTACAGGCAGTACCTGGCCAAGGTGGAATGGCAGGTGGAGAAGCAGAGGCAAGAGCTGAGGGAGGACGAGAGTAACTGGGCACTCAAGGCACTCCTCAGAGTCAAACACCAGATGCCTTTGCATTTTAAGATTTGTGCTTTTCTTTTTTGGTGCAGCATATTTTTTCTTCTATTTCTGCTCATCTTTCATTATCTTTAAATCTCTCGACCCTGGGACCTTTGTGAAGTATCACCGAATGGAGTCATTGTTCTAAGAATCACCGATTCAGATTCGGATCCTTGTGGTCTGTGGAGCAAGCTGCTTACTGTCCGTACAGTTCCCATTTACCTTTCTTCCTTATAGACTTGGATCTGTGTGTCTCTGCTCCAGGGCCGCCTGGCTGTTCTAAGCACAATCCCACTCTCTCTGCCAATGGCTGCCTCAGGAATGGGCCTGAGATCCGATGCAGACCCATGGGTAGTGAATGAAAGTCTGCACAGGTGGGGATGGATGGTCTCTCTTTAGATAGAGCCTGTCTTCATCCCTGGTGTTGTGGGGTCTGGGTGTGACAGTGGGACTATCAGCAGCTTTGTGCTGCCAACCTAAGTTGAAGGCAGCGCCTCAGAGCAGCCAGAGAGTTGGGGCCACCTGAGCCCTGAGCCACCAGCCCTGCAGCCTGCCCTGTCTCTGCATTTCCTGTTGTGTTACCCAATAAATTTTCTAATTGTTTAAGCTATTTGAGTTCCAGGTCTCTTTTAACCTGAATTTGAAAACATTCAAACTAATAAAAACTTCTCCTCATTCCTTTTTATCCTTTTAATCTGTTGGAACTTCCCAGTCCTCATGCTTCCTTTCAGCAAGTGGCATCCAGAATAAAGGAACAGGCTTGGCTTTTCTTGTTCCTAAAATTAGGAAGAACCTCCTGCTCTGACTGAAGTACCTGCCACGTTGTGGACATTCATTGAACTCTGAGTAAAGCAAAGCACTTTCAGTTCGATTGCATTGGCATGGGAATGGGGGAAGGCCAAGGGAATGGGGTGGTCTCTAGGCAGGGCTTTCTCTGTGCTTTCTTCTCAGTGTGGCCAGGGGCACAAGGGAAACACAGTTCACATTTGAAGCTCTGGAAGGAATCACTTTGGCAAACGTTCTGAGAAAGGTTAACCAAACCCTTTCTCCTTCTCCACTGTAAAATGCCCTCGGATCAGCTCTCCAGCTCTATTCCTTTGGAAATTGATGTCTACAGGGTTGGGGTAGGGGGGCAGGCTGTTGGCTGGGTACCAGGCACTCCTGCTCACCATGAAAGTGACTCCTTGTAGGTACAGGGAGTATGGACTGGGCAACCTGGAAATGGGCCATCCCTACACTGGAAGGAGGCTACTCTGGCAGTTCTGCTTCCTAATGCTTTCTTAAGGTCTTGGCTGTGTCAATCCAGAGTGCCTCCCTGGAGGAAAGGAGAGCCCAGATATCGTCTACTGGACCAGTGTTCCGGAGGCTTCAAGGTCACCACACTTACGTGCAGTCTTTGCCTCCCTCTGCTCTCCCAGTTCTCCTCTGCAGGGCCACTGCAGCGAAGGGAGCCACGTTTCAGTCACCCAGGACAGAGGTGAGTTCCCTCCTGATGTTACCATCAGTGACCACACTGCGGAGCACCTCCTTAGCTCTCCCCAGCCTGTCCCGTCCATCCCCACTGCTACTGCTGGAGTGCAGGTGTGATTCCCTCTGAATGTTATCCCTGTCTCCAGGTTTATACTCGTACAACCCAGCTGCCACCTTCTCTTCCCAAGACACACCAACCTGCTCAGAAGCCTCCATGAAAGATTTGAGGAGGTTCCCTCAAATCCTGAGAATGGGACCCAGACCCCCCAACCCCTGCCCAGCCCCAGCCCCCTGTGCATTCCTCCTGTGTGCTGACTCCCATTTCCCTCCTTAATCACAGGCCCCTCAGCCTCCAGAGACTTTCCCCAAGAGGCAAGGATGTTCCCAGTCAGCTTAGTGTCATCCCGTCTAGGAAGCCTCTGCAGAGCCTGTCGTGGTCTCCTTCTTGCTGACATTGCTTCCAAAATATAACTTCTCCTACAGCCCTACTCCTACGTGCTTTCATTCCTCCACCCCACACTCCCTCCTGGCTCCCGGCGTTGGCCCTGACCCTCAGTACTCACATCATAAATGTCTGTGAAGCTGGACTGAATTAAATCAAGCCCAGTTGGAGCAGTTTGGGAACACTGCATTGAGGAAGCGGTTCCTGGTCTGAGAACTCAGGGCTCCTCAGGATTCCCAGGGTTTGGGGAGCTGACACACAACACACTCCCCTGCACATGTTTGGGATGGGTTCTGTGCTAGATGATGCAGGAGTCAGGGTCATGGAGCCAGACGTGGAGCTTCACTGCCGCAGCAGTGCTGGAGAATGCTGCTGAGGGGCATTGCAGCCTAGCACTTCAGACTTACCCCAGAGTAGCCTCCTGCCCATCCAGGCTGTCTGGGACGGGTGCAGGTCTCCTTTACCGAACACGAAGAAGAAGAAATGGTGGAGGGACCTGGGAAGCTCCTCCTCATCTGATTACCTGTTTCTACTGAATTCCCCTCCTGTGCAGACTTGAGCCTCATGTCTGCCTTCTTCTCTTTGCTGCCACTGAGATGCGGAACACCACCCTTTCTCCTCAAATGCCCATGGACATCACACGTCACTGTCCTGGATGGTACTGAGTTTGGGGGTAGGGATGTGTCGCAGTGCAGCCCAGCCAAGAATGGGTAATCAGTGAAACAGGTGACTGCCCTGGCCCAAGTCTAGCCTGCCTCCTGTTTTGTACAGCTGTGAGTTAAGAAGGATGTTAACATTTCTAAATAGTTGAAGCAATCAGAAGAAAAATAACATTTCATCTTCACACATGAAAACTGCCTGAAATTCAGAATTCAGTGCTCAGGAAGTTCTAGGTGATGCAGCCTTGCATGTCGCTTACAGTCTCATCCCTGGTGGCCTCTGTCCATGCAGCAAAGTTGAGATAAGGAGCTGGAACAGCAACCATACAGTCTGCTGAGCCCAGGTTTTCTGCTCTCTGGACCTTAAAACTCCTGCTCCAGGAAATCTCAGGTCCTGCATTTCCCAGCTGCTCTCCCTGCTTTCCCCAAGGCAGGCCCCATCCTGCCACTGCAACTCTTGCTCTCTTTCCCTCAAGCCCAGCCCCTTCTCCTCCAGCCTCCTCCACACCTCCGGGGTCCCCTGGTTGATTGAGCAGACCGATCTCACCATCCTTGCTCTCAGGGGTGGGATCAGGGCATCATCTTTTCAGCCTCCAAATAAATCAGAGCAAGTCTATGAATAAAGTAAGGAATTCTGCCAGCAACTTTTCGCATAGCATGTCTCCTGCTTTCTTCTTCTCCCATCCCTGGCTGATCTTGATTTTTCACAATAACAGAGTATTATTTGGAAGATCTTGTCCTCACTGAAAAGAGGATGGCAGCTAACATGCTGTATTTCTGGAGGAGGGGCAGAATGTGCTTTCTTTGTCGTGGGTGAATATAGTCCTGTCCCTTTCACTGCCCAATGGGAAGTTTGCCCCCAGTTCTGAGTCTACAACCTTTGACCTTTATAAGAGCTTCACCAAGTGTAGCTCCCTTACCTGTGCAGAAGGCATCTTCTCCACCCATTCGAAGCCCTTCTATTTTGTCCTAGAGGGGAAAGCTTACACTGGTTGTTCACACCGGAGGTGGATGTGATATCCAACACAAAGCATCACACTTTACAGATGAGGAAATTAAGACAAGAAAAGAAACCCCTACTGAGGTCACACATTATTTAACGGATAAACGGAAACTAACACCCAGGTCTGCTGACCTCAGATATTCCCAGCAGCAGTCTGGGCTTCCTGCTGAAGAACGTGCAGACAACCCCAAAACGTCAGCACATGTCTGCATTTCCCACCACCTGTATTTAATAGAGGCTGTAGACAGCCCCACAATGTACCACATGCCTGCGTTTCCCAGCACCCATATTTAACATGCAGATAACCCTAAAATTCAGCGCATACTTGCGTTTCCCAGAGCATGTACTTAGCTAATGGGAAGCAGGGGAGGCTCATAGAGGCTGTCCACCCAGATCAAGAAAGTCAGCCGTCATTTCCAACTGAACAGCTGACTGTCATGGGTTCTTGTCCGCCTTTAGGGTCTCAGGGCTGGTACCCAAACTAAAGTGTGCCTGGCAAAGCATCCCCCTTAAATAAACTCACTAAAGAAATTATCCCCTAAGTTTCCATGGTGATGCTGGTGCAAAGGGTGACAAACCATCCTGTTAGCCCAGGTCTCAGAGGATTCCCTGATCAAAGGAATTTCAGTGCTGAACTGGGAAAGTCCCAGGCTTACTCCAAGGGTACGAGATTGTCATGGGTCCAGGTTAGGGGTGGAGAGTAGAAAAGAACTGATTTGTTGGGCTCAGATCAATGACTTATGCTACAGAGGAGGATTGCTGCTTCCATATTCCTACCTCAAACAGTCTCAGACCAGTCGCTACCCCAGGGGCATCTCTCATCAAGCCCCCTCACCTCCTTGCATTGTTCCCACCATACCTTTCCCTCCTACCTCCTACTTCTGGTGCTCAGGTAGAAAATCCACCCAGGCCCCACAGAAGAATGACTTCTCATGCTTCCCTACTGTGGAAAACCCACACAACCCTTCCCAAAGCAACATGAGGACCTTGCTGTGTGCAAAGTTTCAGTGTATTGCCTTGTAACAGGCTCAAGACATTAATACTAAAGAATGAGTCTCCAATTTCAGAATTGAAGAGCCTATGGCAGGTCAACTGAAAAAATACTTTTTGGACTGATGTCATGGTGCTTTGGGGGAAGAAGTTGGTGTTCCGCGTGGTCCTGGTGCTGAAGATGCAGTCCACAGTCTGGGTCCCCTGTAGCTTGTTTCTACCCACCTGGCCCTCCTGCGCCCACCTTTTCCCTCTCTCCCCTAGCAGGATGAGGCGTGCAGGCTTGGGTGAAGCAGGACCTCCTGGCAACTCTGGGAACGACGGCTAAGCTAACAGCAGGTATAGCACCTGTGAAGAAGAAAATGAGAGACTCGCTGAAAGTCTGAGAAGCAAAGTAGCTGCTATAAAATCTTTTCCCGTGGAAATAGGCCATGGAGTTAAAACCCAAAATAAATTATCAGCTGAAACGGATTCACAACTGGATTCTACAATTGGATGTCTAGTATGGACAGACTGCAGACCTTATCCATAGGAAGCCACACAATGCTGCTGTGCCCTACGATGCTGCCTTCTTCGTTTGTCACGTATTGGATTATTAACCTGAGGTGATGCAAGCAACTGTGAATTTGGAATTTGTTCCAACTTAATGGCCTGGTGTACCACTTTGACAAAACTCAGCATCAAAACATCCCTAGTTTTCAAACACTATGGCATTTTCCATTGAAAATAGCTGCATGTCGCTTGTTTTATAAATCACATTAGATAATACAGTGCTCTTTGAATACTGTCTGTTTTTTCAATTTTTCAAGTCCTGGGGTACATGTGCACGTTTGTTACATAGGTAAATGTGTGCCATGGTGGTTCGCTGCACCTATCAACCCATCTCTTAGGTATTACGCCTGGCATGCATTCACTATTTTTCCTGATGTTCTTCCTTCCCCCACCCTATCCTCCCCTGACAAGCCCCAGTGTCTATTGTTTCCCTCCCTGTGTCCATGTCACACTTATAAGAGAGAACATGTGGTATTCGGTTTTCTGTTCCTGCATTAGTTTGCTGAGGATAATGGCTTCCAGCTTCATCCATATCCCTACAAAGAACATGATCTCATTCTTT